CAATTAGCGGCCCAAAACCAGTAGTTTGTCTTTAGTTTCTTCATGCTGCGACTGAGATTGCGTCGGTAATTTAGATGGTAAAGCCGATTCAGCTTCGTAAGTCGCGAATTTACATAATTTAAGTTTTACATTAGCAAATTGATCTTTTAATTTCAATTTTGGAGTACAGCGAGCGTTGTCAGTTGGATTCGAAAATGCAGCAGCATAATGTAGGTTGTTTGTTTTTGAAGGAGATGGAGGAGGTGCCTGGGGGGATTCAAGATGGCCGAAGCCGGTTGGGTTCATTGTGATTTGATTCTGACGTGGCAACTGTGAACGAGTGTAAGACGCGGTTGAGGTTGACGAGGAAGGAATGGGTAGAGGCAACGATAGACATCTTTTGGGAGATACTGAAGATGAGGATGAAGATGGACTGTTAGACAAGATATAGCTGGTGTTGTCCCGGTGAGAGACTTCAAAGATATCTTGGTATGTGTATGATCCGCTCAAGTTGTTACCCTCGTCTAGGTCATAATAATCTTCGACATCAGGGTCAGTCATCGTCTCCGAGGTTGATGAGTACCCATCCATATCAATATCCATTTCGGAGTTTACTGGTGTATCGTCGTCCATGTCAGAGTCATTTTGGGCTGTTGGATCCAGGTAGAGTCGCTTTGAGACTGGGCAAGAGGGTGTATGCGATCGAAAATGATTCGCATTGAGGTAAGGAGAGGATCTGAGAGCTCTTTTGTTTGATTTGGTGTTATGAATGCTATCCAATTGCTGAGATTGAGATTGCTGCAGCCGCATTTGTTCCATCATTTCGATGGTCGAGTCCTCGGACAAGGCGAATTCCAGCTCGTGTAGTTTGGACAAGAGGTTTGAGGGGGTGAAGTCAGCGAGTGGACGAGATTGATAGGAGGATTGGACTGAGGAAGAAGGGGAGTTGGGAGGAGGTGTAGGGAAGCGATGGATGGCGTGGTGGTGGTGGTTGTGGGGGTGATGACGACGGGGGATGGAGGTAGCTGCGGCGGGAGCGGGGATGGGGTGATGGATTTCCATAGTGTTTGTAGAGTAGAGCGTGAGTGCTGTATAGAGTGAGTGAGTTGTAGTAGAAGTGAGTGGTGTAGTGAGGTAGAGTGAGAGGGAGGGAGGGGGAGTGCGAGGGTTTATATAGGGGCGAACGACGGCTCAGCCCAAGTGGCCGCAAGAGGGAATTCAAGTGGGCGTTGAAATTTCAAATCTGCCGCTCCCTGCCGTTCCCTCGTTTGTTGCCGTGACGTGGCAATTCTGGCAATTCCACTCTGCACTCCACACACCACACTACATACATACTCCACACGGATATATCCACTTATCAAATTAAGTATTTCCCCTTTCATGTCATTCCCTTGCTGTATGCTATTTTTGGTCTGTATCTATAAGTAATCTACCCTCTGGCCACATCCGCTCAAGCAGTTAGCAATCCGCGTCGAGTCGAAGCGCTATGACTCAACCGTGGTCGTCCCTCTCAAATCTTGTGTCGGGTTTGATGATGTTTGATGCTTGACTCTTCTGATGATACCCCAGACATCTCCCGGCCTTTGTTCTGCCCTGTGTAATGAGTAATGTATTTCATCCTTTCTGCATCGATTCTTTGTAATCCACGTTACAATTGTAAATCACCGTTATACAACTCTTATACATGGACGCTCAGACGTGGATTCGTTTATCTTTTGCAACTCCTGGAGTCACTTCACAGCCACACTCACCTTCCGTTGATCAAACATCTCCCAAATTATGTAACTTGCAAATTTGCAAACTTGGCATATATTTTAGCTGTCATCGATCATTTAACGGCATACGGTTTTCCAGTTTCCATATTGGGGAAATCAAGACACCTGTAATTTACCCGTTGATATTATGAGTTTGTCATCGGCAAAGAATTTTCAAAACTATACTGAGTTCAAATCACACTTTCCACACATACTTCACAATTTCACTCACAGCCAAGCCACGACACCAGTTTCACGAAGCGTCCAAACATCTGCTCATGCTGTCCGACAAAGACCGTTCCCAGGCCCCAGCATCCAAATTCCAAAGTACAAAATTTTCAGGGCGTATCAGATACGCTTTGGTCGCGTTTTGCTGATAAGAACTTGGATCAAGTGAATCAGTGATGTACAAATTTACATGCCTTCAAAATTGATGACGTTGACATCACTTTGACGTTTTGATTTCTGTTGATTTCCCAAATAATCCCAATTTCATAGACATAAAATATTAAAAACTAAACCACGTTACCACACTTTTGCATTATTCACGTCTCACGATTCGATGGATTTGCACAATTTATGTTGCGAAACTTGATTCAAAAATTCAGCATCAAACCATCTTGGCTCACGAACTCATTATTCGCAATTTTACAATTATGACCCCAACACAAACAGGACACAAAGTAATTACAAACTAACACAGTTGAAACCTTGAGACTTCAACACTCGAGTCTTCGGCAGCCTCATCATTTCGGATTTCCCACGGTCTGATTGTATCTGAATCTGTTGGACGAGTTTGACCTTTCTCAACACAACTCATCAGTGAACCACTGACCCACAAACCCATGTAAACCCAATAGTCACTGTTCGGTTTAACCTTCACCCCCTTATCTCAATTCAAGTGATATTCCTCATATATGCATCTTTTCCACTCCAACGCAAAGGCAAACCATGATTCACTTCAAGCCTGTATCTCTGATAGGTACTTCTACTGAGCAGTACTCGGTCTTTTGTCGTCACTGCTGTTTGTGCTGTATATACCGCAGGCAAAATCCGGGGATAATAGGGGATAAAGAGAACTTAATCTTGATTGTTCATCTTTTTCCATTTGACGTGTTCCTAGGCACCAACGGATAATCCTGGATTTTTTGGGATTAAATAAAAATATTTTGTTTGATTCACTGATTCACTGACAAAACAAAAGTGAGAAAAGTGGCCAGGCGCAGCCCACCTCAGAAAGTACTGGTTAACAGTCTCATTGGTAGGTAATTGAGAGCTTTCAACACTATGAAAGTGCTATGTCCCATCCCTGGTTGTCGAAAAAGGATCGCGGTGAGCAGATTCGATTACTTACTGTCGCATACCGAAAACACTGCGATTCATGGAGAAGGTATCGTTCCCGACATATGCAAATTTGACGAATGCGAGGTGACTGTATCGGACTATGTCGACATTGAAGCGTTTTATCGTGAACATTATCTTCCTTGCCATTACAATCTCACTTTCAGTAGAATTGGTCGGAAAAAAAGACGTTCAGAAACAGGCTCAGAGGCGGCAAGCAATATTTATGGTTTCAACGATAACTGTTGTCCCAACCATTCGTCTGAAATTCAAAGTAGCGCCAACTCCTCAAACCAACGACGAAATAGTCTGGACGCAATAGAGAACCAGGAGATGGACGCTTTTAACTTTGCCGCCCCGAAGAACTCCTTCACCATGAAAGAGCAATCTATTCGTACTATTTTAAGGGAAGAACTAGCAGATTTGTTAATCCCTCAAACGCTTACACTTACGCAAATGTGGGAAGGTATCGGGGAAGTAAGGGAAGACATCGGTCAAATAAGGGAAGGCATCGGGCAACTTATACATACGGTCTCCGAAAATAGAGGTATGATTTTCAATTGTTTGCAGCATTTACTTGTTTACTTCCGCGATTTCGGGTAAATGCCTCCTCATGGCAATGATCGTTGCCGGAAACATTCCATGATTCTTTGTAATTTCCATCCTATATGTGGATGGATTATGTTTATTTGCTTTTTTCATATTGGTTTCCATAATGAGGCCGATGTTCTCTCATGCGTACACAGTCAACGACGCGCGAGATAGTTACATGTGTTCTGTGAAACCTGTATTTGGCACTGTTTAACTTGGTTGCTAAAGTTCAGAATTCATTCAATCCAGCCGTCTTGACTTCGGACAAAGGAAAATACGTTACAGTAAAGAAGGAAAACCAGAGTTCCTCGAAACAGTTAAGGATGTTACCGTTGCTCAAGGCTATCATACCCCCCAACCAACAATTTCGGACCGCAGACAACATCATCCGTAAGACTCCTTTCTTCCTAGTACCATTACCCTAAAATATCATTGACGACGAGATTGTGCGTAGAGCATGTAGCCACTATGAGAGGCCTCCTCGTATCGGATGAACAGAAAAGCATATTACGTGACTTCGCCAACAGACATGGCTTGACCGAAGACGATACGCTCCATAAATGCGGCGAATACTGGATCAACAGGGCCAAAAATTGGAAGCAATGGGCTGAAGGGGCTGCAGTGAAGCCGGAATTCATGCGGTTGGTATGTAGCTATGTTATTACATGGCGTTGGGAAATCACTAATACTTCGCTTTCAGAGCTCAAGCGCCGGTAAAAAGAAGGTGAACATGGAATTTGCACATGCTGGGATAGAAAATAATTGCTCTTGTCCAGGGACTCTGGAAGCGGTGAATGCATTAAGCGTACATGACCCCTTCCGGCAGAGCACCTCTGTTAATGGATCTGATAGAAGCCGTAATTTGATTTGCCCCAATGCTGCACTGGCTCCTCAGAATATATATATGTAGTTATATCATATTTGTGTATTATTGAAGTGTATTCAGCATTAAGTTGTAATATGATTTCATTGAAAAAGTATTTTAGAAAATCAGATTATTTCGCATTATTCCAATTCTTATCGGAGATTCGTGAAAATTTCTAGATAATTCGGGATTTGAAAAATTTGTTGAAACCAAAGGTTATAGCGGATTATCCAAACACTTCTCTGGTGGAGTTCAAAATTCTTATCGCTCTCTGGCTCTTGACGCGTGTTTAATCCTGAATTATCCCCGGATTTTGCCTGCGGTGATATATCTTCATCCTGTTATTTCGTTCATGCTCTTTCAGTCACCATCAATTAAGACTCTACCCGTCACATTCATTCAACCTATTCATTCCATGCTTTCAGGGATTATTAGAGTCATGATTTGCATAAGAAACTCGTGACCATCACGGGACATTAGTTTAGTCGGTAGAACGTCAGTCTCATAATCTGAAGGTCGTGAGTTCGAGTCTCACATGTCCCATTTCAGAAATTCATGTACTTGCAGTGGCTGTTAAGCCAAGACTCTTTTGCCTATCATTGCCGTCGCTTTGCTTTTCAAAGATGCATGCTACGGTAGTTTCATCCAGACATAAGCGACTTTGGGCGCGTATCTGTTTTGATCGCAATAGTCTTTATTGATTTTTATACCAAAATGTGCAAACCGATACTCTGATATGTACTATGAATGCAGAATTTATATACTCATTCGCGACACTCTGTTATATTCGACAGTTCGAGTCGGATTCCGCCTGAAGGACGATCCCATGCAATGCTAAGAATGGAATTATTCCTCCCTGGCTCTCATTCCGCCCTCCGCTTGAGGTTTGGATTTGACTAGATACGTTTTTGACCATTGACCCGCCAAATCGGCAACTTTCTCCAAACGTCCTTTTAAAACGTGGAATGAATTATTGTTAGATCAATATGGCGGAATATATATAAATGATTAAACAGAGTAGCAACATTTACCTGGTTCTTCGAATAAATGTGTGGCTCCTACGCCAATTACACAAAGTCGTCAGTGAAACGTCATGGCTCATGCTGTCTAAATCAACTCTAAGAAGTAACCAGTACTGAAAACAAGGAACCATACCTGGAACAATCTCCATTTTCTTTATTTCAGTTTTCAACATTCTTTCGACTCCTCTGTTTAAATCAATCACGACGTCGTCTCGACCACCTACTATAAGTAACACTGGACACCGGACGTTGTCAAAAACAGCTTGGGGAACTAAATCCGGTCTACCGCCGCGTGAAATGACGAGGTTGACGTGATCGGGGCGAGCGAAAGCACCCATCTAGGTTACGGTTACAAAGTTAATATCTATCGTGACCAGTTTTTCTGAGGAGGAAAAAGCAGGTGTATACCAAAGCAGCGGCAGCACCTGCAAAAGTAAAGGAATGTGTGGTGAAGGTATCAGTTACATAAAGCAAGTCCGAGATGAAAGCGGGAATAGAGCATACCAGTTGAAGCTCCGAATAATCCGAGCGGCATGTTGGTAGTTTTAGGATCATTGTGAAGATAATCAATCGTAGCGACGACTCTTTTTGACAGTAATTCTACAGAATTCCAAAATCCTAGTTAGTAACGTTTTACTTGAAATCATTGGCGCGAGCTAAACAAATATTGAGGTTACCAATGTCGAATCGAAGATGTCTAGTGATATTATCGATGTCTTCTTCATCAGGGGTGAGAAGATCATACAATAAAGTACCCACACCTTCTTGTCGTAATCTCCTTGCTACGTACTGCAGTCATACACATAGTCAGTACTAATACGAGGTCAACCGGTTCATGCAAGCACATGCGTGGGCAAATGTCATCTTGTTCAATAAGAACGATACAGCATTTACCTGATTACGGGAGCTGAATCGGCTGCTGCCGCTACCATGCACGAAAACTACAATCCCTTTGTTCGGATCCGATGGCATAAACAGCTCACCGGGAAGAAATATTGGACCGCGATCAGTATGGTGGACGGGAATTTTAATGTCGAATTGTGCCATGCTTATTGGAAAGGGGGATAGTGGTGGGTTGGAGGGTACGTTTGGACAAGGTGTATTCTTAAATGTGCCGCATTTACCACATCATTAGGTATAGTTACCGTGACGTCACAAGAAGCTCGTTTGCTCTATTCCTCTTTTGACAATTGGGCGGTGTTGAGTTGGATGCGGTCAAGATCCCTCTTGTAACCTCCGAGACAGTGTTGCGTGGTGCTTTCGGCCGGTCAAGACTACACAATGTATTTTTATGAAGAGAGTATTTATTTTTAAATTGTATTTTGTATTTTTCCATTTTGTGGAGACAATAAAAAGTAGTCAAAAGCACAAAATAGGCGTATACGGTGAAGATCACGAAGCCACGTGGCCCATTCCCTCCCCCTTCCCCACCATCCCAACGGCCTAGGAAACCACTTCTGTTGACGTCTCGAATATCCATCCATCGACCAGCAGCACACATCTCAGTCTCAGATGTCGACTTTCTCAAAGAACCCCTTCGAGCTGTTAGCTGCAGCCGATGAGAACGCTGATCCTTCCACCATCTCCCCCAAAAAGGATACCAAGAAAAAATCAGAGGCCAAGGAGCAACCCAAAAAGCTCGACAACTCTCGTGCCAGACCCCAAGATGCTCGTTTGAAGAGAGATTACCCTCAGCGTGGTGGATTCAAAGCTGTTCCTATCGACAGAATTGGTATTTATCTCAATCTATCGGATTGGCTCTGTTAAAATTTTTGTTTTGGAGGCTTTCGGGTGTGGTTTGTTTGTTTTCACCCAAACCGAACATCCCGCTTTCACCAGAGTTAGGATTGCGATCTGAAGTTTGGATTCACATTCTTGTATTCATATACTGGTTGGATCGTTCGTTGTAGACGATAATTGCGGTGGAATTTGGGTTCCTTTCATGGTGGCGCTGAATTGATGGTGGCGGAGATTAGTCTTCATGATTTGCACTCCGAGTAGCAAGGGATTAACTCAACATCCATTTTTTAAATCATGTAGCACGCTCAAGAGACACCGGAAGCTTCGAAAATGCTCCCGAATCGAATAGATCTGAACGTGGTGGATTTAGAGGTCGTGGTAGAGGAGGCCGTGGCCGTGGACGTGGTGGCCGAGGAAGAGAATTCGACCGCCGAAGTGGAACCGGCCGAGAGGACGGACACAAGAAAGAAGTTGCTGGTAAAGGTTCATGGGGTGAAGCTACTGAAAATCCTGAAGAATCTACTGAAGCGTTCGTATTATCTTTAAATTTTATAATGTGGTCCTGCGATTTCCGAGTAACCTCTGTCCTCTGAACATAATCCAATAGTGCCCCAGCCGCTGAAGGTGAAAACGCAGAAAACAAGGAAGAAACCCCCGTTGAAGAGAAGGAAGAAGAAAAAGTCAAAACTCTTGAAGAATACCAAGCTGAATTAGCCGCCAAGAAAGCCGCCCTCAACAAATCCACTCAAGTCCGTAAAGCCAACGAAGGTGCTGACGAAAGTCAATGGAAAGGCGCTGTTCCTCTTCAAAAACAAGATGTTGATGAAGCCGACGATTTGGCTCCGTTCATCTTCGGCGTCGGCAGCAAAGGCGAAAAGAGCAAATCAAAGAAAGAAAAGGCACAAAAAGTTCATCTTGACATTGAACAAAAATTCGCTGACGAAGACCGACCAAGACGTGGTCGTGGTGGTTTCAGAGGAGCAGGTCGTGGTGGACGAGAAGGCAGAGGTCGCGGAGGCAAACCTCAAGCAGTCAACATCAACGACGATAAAGCTTTCCCCTCCCTCGGTAAATAAAGGGATAATATAACAGATATAGCAGAGCAGTTTGATTTGTAGTAGAAACTGTTTGTACTAATAATAGCGAGAGTAAGCAGTCGCTTTGTCCAAAAAAACATTTTAAAAATAACAATAGTTTTTCACTTATTTTGCACGTGATTTGAATTTACATTGCTCCGTTACTTCCATCCTTTGCATTCTTTTCCTAAGTCCCAACTATAAAGTGCACATATCAAAAGTAGCTACTCGTTCCACTTCTGACGGCCTAATCCCGCACTTAGAACGTCAGCTACTCCAAGTCTAACGACCACTTAATCCCCGACGATGGCATCTCCGTATGAACTATACCGACGATCAACGTTGGGAATGTGTCTTACAGATGCACTAGACGAATTAATTCAAACTGGTCAAATCAATCCACAATTAGCACATAAAGTGTTACTTCAGGTAAGTCTATCCCTTCATCCTTCCAGAGTCTCCATCGAAAACTTCAAACGGAGGCTATCATTTCAAGGAGTTTGTTATTTGGATGTTAACCAACGATTTGTTTGGGCCTTTTCTGTGTTCTTATGTATTTTCATTCAGTTCGACAAGTCAGTTACAGAAGCATTGAACACACAAGTTAGAGCTAAAGCTTCATTTAAGGTAATTTCCGAGTATCCTGCATCGTTTGAGAAGTCTGATGACTCTCGTCCGCTCCATATGTCCGAGCTAAAATCTAATTACTATTATCAATATTGTTTTCCGTACCGTTTATTATGGTTTACTTATTTTTTATTTAAATTTGGATGAATGGTTTTCAGGGGAGTCTCGATATTTACCGATTCTGTGACGACGTTTGGACGTTTATACTCAAGAACCCAAATTTCCGATTCGAATCTGACAACGTTTCGGCCGAAAAATTGAAAATTGTGGCTTGTAATGCTAAGAAACCAGAGTAATTTCTATCTCGACGACAAATTTACAGTGGGACTTTAGTCTGGATGGTTTTGATTAAGATGGTGAATAATGGATATTTGATGGCGGGAAGTTGCTCGCAAGAACGGCGCAGCGAGTAGGGGAGGGTGGGATACTGAAATTATGTATTATATGAACATAGGAAAACCAAAATGGGTGAACGTATAAACTGGAGGAAAATTGGATGACGGATATAGTGGCGGTGGCATCAAATTAATACTGAATATAGTTGACATGGGTGGTGTGGGTATAATTAAATGTCAAACGGAAGCCATCACTTAATTATGGCACAATACACTATTAAATTGCAATATTTAATTATTTAATACTGCATTTCTTCGACTCGATGGTTAAGTCGGGAAGCAGCATTGACAGAAGCTTGAGAGTGGTAATCTGTTGAAGAAGGACAAAGGTACCTCAGATAAGCCCTCACCGATGAAAAAACTTGTGGTTACTGTGAGGATAACAAGATGCACTTGTCAATTTGGATAGGAATGAAGTAACTCGACCAACACAACCATGGACAATGAAGAAGCAAACGCTTGGTGATGGTTCTTGACACAATCGATAAGAAATTTATACCAACTTTTCACAATATTTACATAACAAAATCCATAAATCATGACGACTCCATAATCTGTTTCATCGGTTCTTCTAGTGCTGATTTTAAAGATACTGCCTACGGATATGGTTAAAAAATTCATACGTTATTTAGGCACACCAAAGTAGGATAAGAAGTGTAAAATACAAACTTTTGATTTCAATA